AGAATTGATTTCTAACGAAATAAACCAATAGGCGGATAGGGGCGCTCCAAATTTCAAGGGAAAGATTAGATTTTCTATCGCTCAAGACAACTATCTTGAAGGTTTTAAATTGCTTAATCTCGAGAGCATTTGGGGGCTGCGACCCTAAGGACCCGGCACAGGTTCTGCCCCTAGACCCTACCAAGAAGTGATCATTCATAGTTTATATCTCTCAGGACTGCTAGGTTCTGATTTGCGCTTTGAAATAATCCATCACTCATGTTTAATATTATCATCATTTTCATTATCATTATTATGATTATTATTATGATCAACAATTTTAATGTTAACGCTATTAGTGTTACTCATAATCAAGAGAAGCATTATTAGTAGTATTGTTGTCATTATTAATCTAATTCGTGAGTGTGGAGTACAAATTGGGCACGCCCCCCCCCCCCCATGACGAATAAAACAGGGGGAATAACGAAAGTTAAAATAGAAAATGGGAAAGCGATGAGAAAAGAAGACGGTATAGGACCTCACCCTCTGTTATTTACCCCCCCCCCCCTTCTATTTGCACAATGTGGCCCTGTATTTGATGGAAACACAATAATTGAGTCATTAGAATGATTAGAAGTTGGTTAACGGAGAATATCGATCTGCCCGACCTGATTCGCTCCGCCCAGATGATCCACAGTAGAGTGTCAGCATAGTGTCCCTATTTTATTTTAAGGCACGTTAGATCTGGAAAACATATTTTGAAGAATCTCCTGAAGTCCGGCCATGGATGTCTCTGGTCCAGCAATACACTGCCAAAACCATCACCGCAGCAAACAGAAGAACACTAAAAACAGGAATGAGGAAATACATCATAAGGAGCTTACAGCTGTCTAGGCCTATATATTGGTTAGAGGTGCTTGCTGTTGTGAGGTTGAAAAGCTGTGTTGCTAATGGAAGCAGATTGGTCGTAACTTCCCCAAGTGTCTGCACAGAGGCAAATGCAGACACCTTCCTGCCGTCGACTGTCTTAACACTACACTCGATGAAATAGTGGATATCTCCGGTACGAGGCTTCAGGAGAAGAGATTCCTTGGTGTCCGTAGAGAACGTCACGTCGCCGGATGATGTACACGTATTAGTCTCAGGAGGTCCCCCCTTCTGGAATAATACCCAAGTACGTTCCATGGTTGCATTGGGTTGAACCTGACAACGAAACTCCTGTGATTCACCAGAGTGGATGCTGACATCTAGAGGGCTAATGAGCACATTTATATCCTGTTCCATTGATGAGGGAAAACTGCACGATCTTGAAAGATTCTCTGGTAGATCAACGGTACACATTGCATCCGAAGTTGGTCTTTCTAGGTCGCGGAGACTCGTTATAATCTTACGGCTGACGATACCGCTAGGTAGGCATAGATCAGGCTCAATCGTTTCGTTTTCAGAGGTCAACCTTGCGATCAAACAGCTATCCTGTCGATAAAATCGAGGTTTCCATGAACACGTTAACTCGCGATAAATTCTTCCAGACACAATAGCTATTGCAATGTTACACGTAGGAAAATCATAGACAAACATAATAGCAGATTGAAACAAGTAAAATGTGCCAATCGTAGTGGGGGCAGAACCACAGTTCATTTCCTGATAGCCACACTGGAAGTGTCCAAAGAGATCCGTCTGAGGTACCTGAGGGTTAAGGATGGCCAACTTGTAAGAATCCCCCTCTCTCCACGCTGCGTAGTTACTATCCATTCCCGGTAGGGCTGAACACGACTCCTGATCGGGACAGGAGAAACACCTCCCTACAAATCTTCCAGTGCCGTTCCCGTTAACAGCGTGCCAAACAATGGAATAACCGGATGCATCTCTCACCTGGCACGTGAGATTGACAGCATTATCTTTGAAGGTATGCCTGTCGTCGGGACCTGATATGTGATGTGGGTCAGATAGGACCAACTCCAAGAAATTTAACAACAACATACACTTCAGTGAAGATTTCATCGCCATGATCATGCGGTGATAATAACAGTCAATGATTAAAATGAGCTTCTGATAGTGATAATAATACTATCTACAAAGGACAAAGATACAGTTCTAAATCTAGGACATTCTGAATTCTGCTAAATCAAGAAAATAAAAACCAAGATATGAATAAAGTTATTGACATGTAACGTATAACGAAGCCTACTTCAAGGCTTTAAGGTGTCGAAACCGTTTTAATAAATATGTACTTGAGATTCACAAGACAAGGCTGAAAACTATAATTTTACTCTCCTTGTAATATCAATTAATAATGATTGTTATTTCACTTACTTTTGATATGTTTAATGCATGCTTATTTTGCTAAATCAGGAAGAAAACAAATTACAGGGAGTTGTCATATTTGCGTCTGAAACAATGAAATTATTTAATACTTAAGATTATTGTAATAATTGTAATAATAATTATTATAAGTTATGTATTTTATTGTTTTTGTTGTTTTATTTCATTTCTTACTACAATTCAACTATTTTGACCCCCAGAACAATCACCTAATCTTTACACAAGACCCAATAACCAATGTTTTATCTATTTTTAGGAAAAATGACATTTCCATATGTTTTGTACATAAATCACAAAAATGAGCGATTTTCGGGCAGACATGCAAAGACAAAAGATCACGTGACCTAGTAACTGTAGGTCAGATTTTCATTTTTTTTTTTAAAGAAGTGCAAGACTCGAAAGAAAAAAGTCAGCGAGCGGCCGGGGGCCATCCATATGCGTTCCCGAACAATAAGAAAAATCGTGGAGGGGGGGGGGGGGAATACTGGCCACCGGCCTTATTAGGGTTAACTAATAAACAAAAAGAATCCAGTCAAGAAACAATTTTTATGCCAAAACAACATGATTGTTTTATCATTTAGTTACAGAGTTATGGTAATGTTTAGAGGATGGAGAGATTGAAAATGGGTGCTCTATGCATCAGTGGACTAAATCTACCCACTAAGTCGGGCTTTTAAACAGGGGGGCGTCTCACAAAACTTGTCATCAGTGACAAATGACAGTTTTTGTTATAAGCTACTGAAAGCCTTGCTTCTGATTGGTTGTCGACAGATTTGTCACTGATTTATGTCATTTGTCATTGAAAAGGGGCTTTTTTAAACGGGTCCCCGGAGTAAAGGTAATATGCTTGGCCAAGGAGAATAGTGAGATACTTACCCCTGGATGTTCATCCCCTAGTGACTGAAGGAAAGAAGTGAACTGAGGACTTCTGAAATAAGAGATGGACATGAGAACAGTGAACAGAGATAGGTTAGAGATCTTCTGGAAATGACGCTCGCAGATGAACTATAGGGAAAAGGGACACAAACAATATTTAAATTAATAAATAAGGACAGAAATATTAGTGACATTAATCAAAGACTCAAGTATCAATGAAATTAATCATCTTCAAAACAAATGCACAAATTTTCAAATATTTTAAAAATGGAAAGCTTAATGTATCATACGCGTAGGATCAAATAAAACATTCATTACATAAAATCAATATTTGTCATATGTTTCTCCATTAAGACAAGGATAATACTCAGCGTCAATATTTACATGTTATATCTGTTTTTGGGGTATTCAGAGTCGCCCCGAGGTATTGGTAACAAACTCGTGAATAGATAGTCACTCTGCACATTGAGCAAATTGCTTGATTCCTGTTCGGTTCAGTTTAGTTTAGTATACTTTTTTCTTAAATGTTAAAGGTACCACGTCCCATTTGCAGGCCCAAAACATGGAAAGGTTAAATTCCAACAGCATTTGAAAGACAATACTAATTTAGAACCTCCCTCAAAACGGAAGGTCTTGAAAACTAACGGCCATTATTCCAAGATTTTTTCTGACTTATTGTTCAATTACAGATCGATCAATCGATCTTATGTACTGGTTGTAAGCCACAAATATGTTTAAACTAACGGCCATTAGTTGTCGAATCGACTTAAGCGATTGCTTTCTTTCTTTCTTGATTTGATTTTGTTTGGCAATCAGTCACAGTTGACTATTTTTGCCACACACTATTTTATGAATTATTTATATATATACATACATATGTACAATTACATGTCACAATCACCTTAATTTTCAGTTTAATTTTTAGTTTAATTTTGGCCATTACAAGTAGTGGGTTATTGATATAGACAAATGCCCATGTATCTTTACAGCTCATTTTATGTATGTCATTACCAAAGAAAAAAGATGTCAGTCAGTCATTCGATAGTGTCTGACAGTAAAGTCTAGATGGTGAACGGGTTTCCTTGCATAATTTGAATACTAGGACACTGCTAATGTATAAATTTCACAGATATGACACACATGACATATCCATAATTCCTGCATAGTTCTACAGAATTTGAAGTTGGCTGCAAAAGGGACATAGTATCTTTAATACGTATTCAAGCGAATAAGAAGAAAAAAAATCAAATCAACTTTTTGATTCTTCTTTTGGCTCTCTCAGCTTCAATTTTAAGCGACAATATAATTTAAAAAAAAAAAATCATTTTGGGTGCTTAAAATGAGAACGCCTGCCCCGGAAAAGTTGGATTGATTTTGCTTCTTTTTTAGGCGTGCATCTTGAGCAGACACAATTTGGTATAATTGCTAATTCGCGTTTTTGTTTGGCATGCACTATACCTTCCTTTAATAGGCCGCCGACTGGATTACATCCGCTCGCCTGTGAAAACGGTTATTCTTTTTCAGTATAGTCTTCTTGTGTGTCATTGAATTTCCTAGTACATCGAGGCCCATTGACCTTGTTCGAACAGTTGACGCACAATGTTTTAACAGATTTGCGTATGCGTTTCCTGATTTTTTTTACTCGTCTATTTGCTGACAGACAGCTAGGATACATGGAGCTGTAGGGCTTTTTCGGAGGACATGTAAAACTTACCACTTTCGATTTGTCACAATCAAATTCAGGATTTTTCACTTTGCAGGCCACTGCTGATAAAACACAAGTTGGTCTCCATTGTTTCGCCATATTCTCGGGATTAGGCCTGTACATTATTATATTTGTGGACATCAAAAAATCAAAGACAAACGCTTCTGAGCAAAATATTTGAATGGAACAGTTTAGGATTTTAATATCGTTTTTTTTTTTAGCTGATCCTTCAGGCTCTCCATATACAAATAAGCATCATGAGTTCACCTATACGCGAGACGATCGCTCTTGTGCCGACTCGGACTATTACAATATCAGACACGGTACCAAAAAGAGCTGAAACAACTGGACCCGATGATGAGGTGGAGAGTTCTGTTTGGCCGGGCATCCGTGAGACTGTTTTCAATCCCCTACCTGCAGGCCAGCCATATCCCGAAACTTACCCTCGGCCTTTCCGAAGTCCGCGGGAGCGACCTGCACATTATCTACCGCTGGATCGAATCCATGAAAACGGACATCCGGATATAGCACGCTTCACAACAGATGAGTTCAAGGAATTTCATGAGTACCTGACGAAATCTACCGAAGAAGGCCGAAGTTTCCAAGGGTCTGGGAAGATCGACCTTGAAGACATTGCGGTAAGAACAATAATTAAAAAGAAATAGATTTAGGGAAGATGTACGGGCCTACACGTCTGTAAAAACCCAATTACACCATACTGACAAACAAATATCCACACACATACACACACACTACGTCGCTAACGTATTTTGATTTGCCACGATGGTTCCTGTGTCCTCTAAATCTTCATGATTAACATTCTTACACATGACTGTACATATATCTGAATTCTAATGTCTTTTATTTCAATTCAATTAACATTTATTTCTTTCCTAAAATTAAAATGAATGCTATTTATAAAGTACGAAGCAGGCGAAAGTCCCCGAAATCACAAAGCTTGTGATCGCCATATACGTTACAAACAGATTTTGTATTGCCCTTTGCGACTGACCCAAAGTCTTAAAGATGAAGTTGAGTTCTGGTCATGCGATTGCATTGTGAAAGAAACGGTGTGGAATCGACCAGAAAAGGTTGATCATCTAGCATATAAGAATATGTGTGTATTGCAAGGATCTGGAATCATCAAAATGATAAGAAATTTGGCCAAGTCTTGGTAAAGTTACAAACACTATGTACACAGAAAGATGTATATGGGACTACACGAACACGTGGCGTAAAAATCCTACCTCGGAGTTTTACGATGTTACATGACATATTTAGAATATGAAGGCATTTGAAGAGCCATGCTTTTCAGGGAACATGTCTTATCTGATGTTCTTCCACACTTGCATAATATAAATGATAACGCTCACAAATTATTTGTCACCTTTTCCCAGAACTCAACCTTCTCTTTAAGATCTACGGTCGGCTTTTGATTATTTTTTAAACCGTTTTTTTTTTGGAAGAAAAACAGGTTTAATGAATAAAAGATTATTTTGTTTGTTTGTTTAAATGGGATATAAATGTATTAAAATCATCAAATTATTCCCAAATTCCCACTTGTCTTCTGCCCTAGTTTCGAATTCCTGCTAGCGTAAACAAGTAGTCTCGTTTACATGTATACCATGTACTGCGCCAGCTAGAAACCAGCGAGATTTGGGCGGCGTTCCCAGTTTTGAGTTTTGTTTGGCGACGGTCGCTGTTTTGAGGGGAACACACACACACAAAATTTATAAAAAAACGACCAATCGACCAAAGTTCTGGCACCTAAAGAGCAATACAACTTTTTTGTTGTTTAAGCCTTACAGAAGAATTGCATATATAATTCCAACCTTCACAAAATGCCCATGAAATGCCGATCATGTTGTTGCTGTTGCTGTTTTACCTTAATTGAAGGAAACGGAAGACAATCTGTCACCCATCAATATACGTTATCGATTACTCATTGAAACAGAAATATAATATATGCAGGTATGCCTACCTCGAAATATGAGCTACTTAACTGAGCAAGGATTTATCCAACATAACCCGGCATAGTTCGCAGGCACAATCCCTTGACGCTCGCAGGCGCTGTACGCACGGGGGTTTTAACCCCCTCCTCAAATTTGTTTTATGTGTGGGTTTCGGAGGATAACCCCTCTCACTTTTTTTGTTGTGCTGAAGGGTGAAAAAACAGACCCTACCCCCCCCCCCCCATCCCACTGAACGAAATATCGGTCGCCATAATTTTCCAATTTCCGGGCCCCCCCCCCCCAAAAAAAAGTGCTCTTACCCCCACACCCCCTCCCCCCGCTTATTCAGCGGCAGGCTGAGTCGTTGCGAAATTTTCCCTCAAAAACTGGACCCCCACCAAAAAAAAAAAAATGTGCTCTTACCCTTCCCCCCCCACTTATTCAGCGCCTGGCTGAGACGTTACGAAATTTACAAATTTAACCCCTCCCCCCCCCCCTTGAAAAAATCCTGCGAACCTACTGGTCGGTCGTAATTCTTAAAGGGGCTGTAGCATGGCAAGTACTGGTTAACACCATCTGCGACTTCTTTTGGACAACTGCACGTAAACAAATGAACTTGATTAACTGGGTTATCATATTGCTCCGATTGTCTCATTTTCGCTCGCTGGAATATTGCCAGCACAAACCACTGACCTCTACCTCCTGGACGGATCATCGCCCATTTCCATTCACTATACGTTACGTTCTAAAAGGCTGTATTGTCTGACCGTTCATGAATATTCATGTTTTTGCTTTCCTCGGCAAAATGTTTGCTTTTACTAACTGGAAAAATGACGGTGGGGTGTTGGATGAAATGGACATAATGAACCAAGCAGAAGTGATCTATGATAATTCATTCTTCTTATCCTTCGTGTGCTTGACCTATAATCTTAAAATCGCTTGGCAAACTGAGTCCAAAGTTCGTCTTGTTTGACATGTGTATTATAGGCAATGACGAGCTTGCAACCTATTTTGATAAAATGACGGTGGGTGAACTTTCAAAAGTCACTGGGACATGAGGGTTCCAATGAAAGAGCTAGTGATAACGTAAGTCGGGGGTGGATGTGCTTTTCGTTTAAACAAAAAAATAATTTGTAACGATTTTGTTTGGTACAATTCCATAGGCTAACATGTATGGCTGCTGACTCTGACGATAGGGGGCGTTGTGAAATGAGACTAAACGGAGCTATATGCGCGCGCTAGCGTTCGCGAAACACTCCGAAGTTCTCCTCACGCTTCGGTTTCGCGTATGTTGCACGCACGTGAATACGTAGTACTGCGATCGCGTCGTCCGTAGTCGACCTGATTGGCCCCGAATCAGGCCACGGGAAAGACACGTAGTCTCGTCATGCTACAGCCCCTTGAACAGAGTGTCTTTACTATTCCGACTGCACGGTCTACTGCCCCAAATATTATCTGTGCTATAGCTGTTGGCCATTGACATATCCAAGGACTGACAGAGTTAGTTTCTGCTCAAAACTCTATGCAATTGTTTCAAATCAGAGTGTGTCCGCAGGCTACACTGTTGCCTTTATAGTTAGATTGAATTTGCTTACTTTTTCCCATGGAATGATGGTCAAAATATGCTCTCAAAACCTTATATATATATATATATATATATATGATATATATGTATTTATATTTTTCTAAAGGCGTACTTAAAAGATAGGACATTTGGAGTGAAAAGGTGAGTCATTAAGTAGACATTGTCATTAAGAGGACAATAATTCTACAGATCGTTTTCGGGAAAGGGTTTAGGGTTAGGGTTAGTTATATATATATATAACTCTACGATTCTTTAGATTTAAAAGTCCTGAGTGAGATTTTCATATTCTCGCAATCACTTCATGAAGAGAGTAAACAAAATAGGTTCCAAGAAGGCAGTCAAGGCCCGTCGGACCAGCGGTGGCAAGAGGAGGAACAGGAAAAGGAAAGAGAGTTATGGAATATCTACATGTACAAAGTCCTCAATCAGGTTCATCCGGATACCGGCATATTCGGTGTCAAATCCTTATCCAACACAAATCCAACAGAAATAGTTTGCAGGCGCAGACCCTTGTCAGTCGTAGGTCGTAGTACAGTGTCTGAACTAACAGACTATGAAGACAGCAAGTTTTAGTACACCCCGGCCATAGCTTCTGTATAATTTACCCATGCTTTAGCTGCTCCTGTATTTTACACAGCCAGAGACAGGCAGTACTAGACCCTCACTCAAGACTATACAGTATATAATTGTGTTTAAGTGTCAAGTTAGAGTCTGTGCATGCAGACTATATCCAGTGTTAGGTCATTGACACCAGAGGAACGCCTGAATTAGTGACGTATCGAGATCGGCCTTGGCATCAGTAGAGCCATTTTTTTTTTACCTGACTGCTAAGAAAGCATGTGTATGCTGCTTGTAAATAATGAACAAGGGGACCGACGGCTTTCGGAGATGAGGATTAATGCCTTACCAAATGGACACAGGCGCATGTATCGACTTGGTTTCGATCCCGCGTCTCCCTTTTTAACTTACCGATCTATGTACCTTTAGTCTAATACTTGCTTAGGACTATATATGAAGAGGTCGGTTCCAAAAGGTACTACATCAAATTTGTTATGCATTAATGTACACGTTTCCAGTAGCCTCATACACTGACACTTTCAAAAAGCTGACTTCCCAAAATATAGTTAAAAATGGCATTTAAAAATCAGTTCGTTCCCAAAAGGTAGGCCTACTTTATCCATTCAAGTCAAGCATTGTAAATTTCATACAGTTCGCATTATGTTCGGTTAGTACATCCAATTTCGATTCCACATCACAAAAATAAAAAAACATACATTCATCAAAAATATTTGTGCAGACTTATATTTTTTTAAAGAGTAGTTTTATACTTGTATCATACAATAGTATGAGGCCCATCGTTTTAACCAGTACCTCGAATAGAGACATGGTATATTTGTTTTCTATCCTGCATCAAAAATGTATTTTATAAAAAAATTAAAAAAACATTTTTTGGAAAGAACAAAAAAATGCCAATTTTTATCTAAAAAGATTTAAAATATTTTATTTTCATTAAATTAAGATTAAACAACAAAAAAAATCAATTAAAAAAAATATATATATTGTAGGTGGGGGAAATGTCCCCTTACCCCTCCGTCAAATACCCCAGTTGCCCGAACATGACTGTATAAGCGTTTTTTGTACATTATCATTCCCTCATCTTCTCTATGTTATTGAAAACAGGAAGGAGCGATCAAGCATACAGAAATTAGCAACTTTCTGACATATGTCTTGCGAGGTCCTATCCCAATTGCCCTATACTAAAAAATAAAGAAATGTCAATTTTTGCCCTAAAGAAAATGTTCAATCATACAGACACCCTAACATTATTGCAAATATGTTTTATAAAACTCCTGTATGAAACATCTGTTCCGTCAACAATTGATTAGACAAAAATGAAAGTTTAATGAAATCTTCTGTACTGAGTAAATTGGAGAGGACCTCGCAAAATACACCATAGTGTTGTCAAGTTGAGTTTCACAGACGACAACTATATAAAAGATTCACAACTTTCTTATTTGAAATCGGATTCTGATCATACTTTCACTGACCTGTTCCTCTCATTTTAATATTAGGGTGGATATTCCCTTTACTAGCTTAGTCACACCACCAATTAACGTGACTCCTACTTATCGATACTTGTTAAATTATTTTGTGCATTTTTTGGTCGGTCTGTTGTCGGTCTGCTATCGGTCTAGTTCTTCAAGTTCAAGTCCAAATTCAAGAACCTCCTTTTGAAGACAATCATGAATTTCTTTACATTATTTAACATCTATTTTTAGAATATCCAAGAAAAGACCCTGGAAAGCCTGGAAACAGCAATATTTTTAGAACGTTTTGATACTCTATTGTCCCTTTGTGAGCTGAGCAATCTACGAGATAAAAAGTGCGTTGACTTCTTTACCAAAGAAGATTTCACTGGAATCTTTACATCTATCTTGGATGAAGTCAAGGATGAAGTGATACCAGAAGATTCATTCTTCAATGATCAGGTAAGGAGATGCCAATAAAACTTTTTGATCGGATGATTTTATTGAGAAAGATATAATCTACAAAGGTCTCCGTCAATCCTTTCTGTATGTGTGTGTGTGTGAATAAACTAAGTATGTACGTATATACTGCATATGAAGATTATAGGGCTCTGATTGGTCCAAAGAACAGGAGGCACGAATTTTACTACTAATTGCTTGAAATCGTAGCGAATAACATTTGCAGGGCAAGTTCTACTTGCGCGTACATGGCATGAACGAATAGTTGAACGTGCATGTCAGCAATGGATACGCGCTGTGAAACGCATGCAATGCTTTCCTCTCACTCTACAAATAAATACACTTTGACAGGCATGTTTTGTTGAAATTTAAGTGGGATGCTTTATATAAAACAAATAGGAATAGTTGTTTTATAGGCTCAGCACGCCTCGGGGTGATAGCAAGATGCAACGTCCCCGAGAGCCTATACAAACAACTATACCTCGAATATTAAAGCAGTCATTACATATTTTATAAACTGTAAAAAGAGTGAAAGAATACATGTGCCACTTACCAATCATGGGGTGTTCACATTTAAAAATCATCATCAAATTGTGCTCCAGTAGAAGTAGAACGGGGATTGGTAAAACAGGTAAAGCAGAAGTAATAAATTAACTCAAACAGTAACTTTTGTCATAGAACCCCATAAAACTCCATAAAACTCCAGATTCGCAACATATTTACGCAGACTGTGAGAGTCTAGACTATTTGTTGTCCTAAATGTTCACAACGCAGTTCTGGATATTTAATGTAGGGGCTTGAACCTGCTGGCTTAAAACATGGGCATGCCTTGTAGTGATGTTGCATGTACCTGGGAAGATCTCTGGTGTTCTTGCTGTCTGCAGAATTAATAAAGTCTTGTAATTGATCATCATCATTCCCATCAAGAAGTTGAAATCTAGGAAGAGTCGCTTCAGCCAATATTGCTTCCTTTGTCCTTTGGACATAAAACAAAGTTAAGAAACTAAAAAAAAAAACATAACATGTAGGCCTAGGCCCCGTCGCAAATAAAAAAACATAATTACCTATAAAAATAAAAAAAAAGACCAAATTAATCGCACAAAAACTATGGTATCCGCACTCGCACAAAGAAACTTATTACACGTAAACCAATGGGGATCTCTGCAAAAATTATTCATGCGGCCCGTTAACCAGTGCATTATTAAAAGAATATTTACCGATTGGCGGGCATCTTTAAAAAATATATTGATTGGTAGGCGGGTATGGCTAAAACCACGACTCCAATTTCGACCAATTAGATGGCTAGATTTCAAAAGAGAGGTATCTGATTGGTCAAATTTGCGGACATGAAATTCACTACGGATTGCCGGGCGTTATGGTGAAACATATTGACTGGGCATAGAATTATGTTTTTTGGCGCGTAGCTGGCAATTTAGATACGCGGGCGCGCGGCCGGCATCATCATACATGTACACCGAACACCGAAAGAGCAATCGATGACGATCACGTTACGGTGCCGTATTTCATATGTCTTTGAAGTTAATTTCTGAGCTAACGAAGGATGCGGTATATAAAACAAATATTGACTGCTTCTTTTCGCGTCACGGTGAAAACCATTGCCCTCGGTTATCTCGCAACTGCCTTTAATATGTCCCTTGACTGTCGTCTCGCGGGACCTAGCACAGTAAATATGCTTGCTCACCTCGGGCCATAGTTTTCACCGTGCCCCTCAAAGTAGCAACCTGTTTTAAAAATAATATACCATGGTATCACAAACCAATACAAAGGCAACTAAATGTTACTCAAGGATAAATCATATTATATACCGCATGTCTAGATTCTAGGCCTCTGATTGGTCAAATTTTTCGGGCATGAAATTCACTACGGACTGCCGGGCGTTATGATGAAAAATATTGACCGGGCATAGCATTATGTTTTTGTACGCGCGCGCGTAGCTTGCCATTTAGATAAGCGGGTGCACGGCCTGCACCATAACATAGCTTTACACCGAACGAAATTTCGAAAGAGCGATCGATGAGAATTACCCTTATAAAAAACGTTACTGTACCGCATTTTATCTGTCTTTTAAATTAATTTTTGAGCTATCGAACGATGCGGTATATAAAACGAATGTTGACTGCTTCTTTTTCGCGTCACGGTGAAAACCATAGCCCTCGTTGATCTCGCAACCTCGACTATCGTTGCGGGGCATAGCACAGTTTCGAGCTCACCTCTGGCCATAGTTTTTACCGTAACCCTTAAAGCAGTGAACATTTGAATATTATTGTTGTAATACAATAATTGAGAGAGGGAGAGAGAGAGAGTGTGTGTGTGTGTGTGTGTGTGCGTGTGTGTGTGTGTGTTTGGCATTATATATCTGTTGTCCCAACGGACCTTGTGTTCACGAGCTCCTATAAATCTATCTTTCCTGTATAGATCAATCACCCAGGCTTCTATATCGCTTTCAACCTCCTCATTGACGCCGCCCAACGCTTTACTGAGAAAAGCCCCAAGCTCTGCCGCCAGATGGGCCACACGGTTGTGCCATTAATCCTTGAACTCGTAAGCAATACCTTCTACGACCTTGAGGCCTTGAACCGCGACGACGAAGAGCTCAAATGGATGTCGAGGAGGGAGTTACTGAAGAAGATGTTTACCTTGCTCTACAATTGCATCAGGTACGATAAAAGGCTCGCTAAGATATAACGCGGTTAATCGCCGCAAAACGAAAGGAAAAGAAAACCGCCGCGCTTTTTATGTGTGTAAAATGAATGGGAAGTGTGCGCAGCAAAGTTCTGCGCATATTGTGCTCTTAGTTTTGTGTTAAAAGGGTAGATGTTGTGCATTTAAGTATATTGCACTTAACGTTATCATAACAAATAAATACAAATAAAATAGAAACCGCCGCGGTGTTGCAGCGTCATATTTTACGAGCATCTTTGGTCGTCAAATTCAGTGGATCCGGCATTATAGGGATGGGGAGGGGGAGGGGGGGGGGGCATGTAGCATTACTGAGTGGCTAAAATGCATACATAGAGATGGGCATTGAAGAAGACCATTAAATGGAGCGGGCGGGTTGCAGCACTTTCTTTTGAGGTTTTCTCCTCTCTCGCTTCCTTTGTCCTTTATCTGTATGATTTTCACCTCTCTTTTTTTGGGGGGGGGGGGGGAGGGCTCATGTTTCTTATAGTTACACCAAAGGTTGTCACCATAATGCACAATTAGCCGGTGTTCATAGGCGTATATGCGTTACAAACGTTGGGATATCGTCGATGTAATAACCAGAGTATATGTCTTACGTCACGGGTTCTTGTTGTTCTTTTTTTTCAGAAACCATCCTAACAACAGAGCGTTTTTTCGCCGGAGCAGGGCATCGGAACTACTCAAGCCTTTCTTGGATTGCCGATTCTACATTTTGCGTGCAAAGGTTATTTATTAAGTTAACCATTTTTATTTATTTATTAACTTCATATTTATTTTCATTATTCATTTCTGTATGCAGGCATGTTTGTATTTATTCACCTTAATTATTATATATTAATTTTTTGAATAATTAAGATCGCGTTTCCATTCAACTTATATAATAAAAGGGGCAAGCGATGACTCTTCATTTCGCTCTTAGCGTTGGAAAAAAATAAAATGAAATCAGATAAGACAGCATTGGTTTCTTCACCACGAACTTGGGTACTTTCAAGTTATTAACTTAAGCTCACTTTCAGCAGTCCCATAATTATGCGTCACTTGCTGAAATTATTGTGACATTACAATGACGTATATAGGCCTACATGCACTTCAACCTGGGGCAAGTTTCACGAAACTGTCATACTTCTTAGTTCTTTGACATCCCGCTAAAATGCGTATTACAAAATGAACTCAAGTTTCAATTGGATGTCCATGAAATACGATTTATTACGGATTTGAGAAACTAGCCCCAGTGTCTATAAGTAAGACAATATCTAGTGTAATACAAATTCCGCTTGAATTGACTTTCTCAATGTATTTGCAGATATGTTATATTCTAGATTGCATTGAATTTAATAGATATCTTTATTTATACACGGTTGTGTAGGGTATTAGTAAGAATTACCCACACAAAGTACTTTCGAAACAATCTAAACGCCCCCGACTATCGTCTCAGGCGTGTTAGACTATTCCAAAGGTACCGAGTATGGGTAATTTGACTAATGTTCGAACAAATACTGTGTATTATTTGTTTTATAAGATGATGTTTTGTTTGTTTTTATGAAATGATGTTTTAGAACATGAATTTATTAATAACCGGTCATTAGTAAAATTACGTGTTAGGCAAACTAAATGCCTGGTCTCGTGTACGCTCTCAACCAATCATTTGATTAGGATCCGCATTATCATTAATAATATAAGGTCAGATGTGGCTGAACAGCGATAAAACACAAGTACTCATCGGATCGAAAAGTTAAACGTTCAATAATTCAAAAGCTCAAAAGTTTGCGGAAGTCCAAAAGTTCGAAAATTTAAAAGTAAAAAAGACAATTTAATAGTTTCAAACCATTGGTTTTATACACTGTAAAAAAAGTTGGGCAATATTTGTCAACACTTTTCAACCCAACCATCTATTGGGCAATATTTTCGTATTTTGCCCAACAGCTGGTCAAGATTTTCCCAACAAGTGGGCTACCGTAGTCGGGCAGTTGAAGGGTCATATCTTTGCCCAAATGTTTGTCAAAATACGAAACAATTATGCACGTGTGAAGTATATAGGGTACTTACGTTTACCAATACCACTGGGCAAAATATTGCCCAATAGATGGTTGGGTTGAAAAGTGTTGAAAAATATTGCCCAACTTTTTTTACAGTGTACCCTTTTCCTGTTATCCCTTTACACAGGCGCTCTTCATTCTGGCCTACATTGTGACTGAAGAGGAAAATATTGATCTCAATACGACGAGTCTTAACATCGAGTTCATTGTCAAGGTCCTTCGTAGGGCCCTGGAAGACCCTTCCCACTACTCCGCTCACTATAACTTCTTCGCCGTTGAGGTGGTGGAAGCTATACAGAGAGTAGCGGCAAACGACCATAACAAGGTAATAATGAAAATAATAATAATGATAATAACTGGTTATTATTTTCCCATGGACATTAAATACGGGACAATAATTGTTTACAATGCGGTCATGATTCCTTGAAATACGGGACGTCTGGTCACACTGAAAGGGATATTGTACCAATGGGACTCATACTACTACTCCTACTAATACTACAACTACTACGACTACTACTACTACTACTACTGCAACACTACTAGTACTGCTTCTACTGCTAATACTACTACGACTACTACTACTACTACTACAACTTCTTTATAGTAGTAATGATCATGATAGATTTGTAAGGTGCCAATTCCAATTGAAACTAAATGCTGAAGGCGCAAATTTCTTTTTTTTCTTCCTTCTCCTTTAAGGATAAATTCATCGAGGCTGGTGTCCTTCCTCACCTTGTTTACATGATAGACGAGAAGAATTCTAAGGAAGAACGCAACACCGCTCTCAACGCTTTGTGGGTGCTTTCATTTACAGCACATAACAAGGACGCCATTTTTAATGAGAAAGGTTGCATCGATAGTAAGTTTTTTCATAATTTTTTATAATTTGTATATGTGTAAGGATTTGCTGGACCGTAGAACAAGAAAAACTTGGTTTTAGGGTATGGCTAAATCAATGAAAGAATAATACGTAAAGTCTGTAAATTCATAGATTGTAGGCCTATTGACTATGTTTTTCGAAACATATGCTACATCCATAAACTAAGTTTGGTGAAAACAATCGGTTCGACATCATATTTTTTCACATCGACTTGAAAACAAATATCGTCTTATTGCACCATTTAAGTAATTTAAAGAGGCCCCTGCAGGTCCTACTGTTTACTGAAGGGAGAGCAAAGCCCTTTACACATAATCAAGAAGTTTGAAACTGCCACTTTAATAAAATGAAGACGCTTTAAACTGGTTTATTTCATGGTCACCGAAATGCCCCGCCGAGGAGGCATGTTTTGAAAATGAAATCATGATTTATTTAACGTATTTGAATATATATGTTGTATCAAGGTGGGAAATGGTATTAACATCATCATCATTGTCATGATCATTATTATTACTATTATTGCTGTTATTATTATTTTATAATTACTATTACTATTATCATCATCATCCTTTTTGTTCTTCTTAAAACTCGTCTGTAATAGTTTGGCCAGGGGGGTTAGACCACCCTGCAAGGTCACCGACAGTTTACTCATTTATTCACTTTGGGGCTAAAATTGCTGCAATACGAAAAAGGGGATCATGGGGGACCAACATGCATCGATTTAAGAGGCATTGTTTGCTAAACAGAGGGCGCAAGTAGCTCTAAGTAGCGCAGTGGGTTTTTTTATATTTTTTATTCTGTTGTTCTTCTTCTTTTTCAGACGTGCGAGCTTGCATCGGCGTTGATGATTATACCCGAGCCTGCCAAGCAATCCTATGGAATCTTCAAGACCAAGTCATAACAAGATCAGAAGTGGTAACTATGACTAGGGGCGGATCAAGGATTTTGTAAAAGAGGGTGGATACTTAACATTCCTCCAATTTTCTATTAATCAACAAAAAATAATAATGAGGGAGGGGGGAATGTTGAGTTGAGATACTCTTTATGATAATTAGAATATCTAGGAATGAGTTCCAGCGATATTCCTTAATATCAAAAGCTTGAGGATTGTGATGAGGTCGCCATAACGTGGCAAGCAACATATATAAATTGTATTCTTATAATAAAATGCTCGTCAAGAAAAGAAAGATCAGAAATCCTACACTTATAAAGAGCTAATCTTACTTTTTATTTCATAGAAGAAGGAAGAGGATAAAGATGACAAACCGGAAGAGAAAGGTGGAGAATGCAACGGGTCAAACAATGGGTTGGCGTCACCCGAGACCTCTAACCCGGAAGTAGACCGCAAGATAACCCCAAAACTTTCTCACGTGATGATCAGCTACCAATGGGATGTCCAGAAACAGATACTAAAGGTCAAGGACATTTTGAAAGCGCTTGGATTCAATGTGTGGTTGGATGTGGAGAGAATGGGTAAATTTATTGCGACATATCTGCATTTATTTATTCAGGCATCAACCTCTTTAGGGGAGAGAGTCGGCAGTTCCCATGTGCAGAAGGTCATAATTCACTGACACCAGACTTGGTGGAAATAAATGTACCATTACTGGATGTAAAATTCTGCACACAGCAAACCCGTAGTCCAATCAAGAAATACCCCTTGTCTTTCGGAGAGTCAGAGTAGGCATATTGTCTCTAATAACCCACCAAGGTCACTGACTTCGGAACGTTTTAAAGGCCTTTCTTTCGCCCTATCTATCTCCACTATCACAGAAGCTACAGACTCCTAATTACAAATTGCTCTGGATAGTCCGAGAGAAGCTCCTCCGTTCGACACGTAAAAACACGGGCGTCATCGCACGCATATCGTTGTGACACGAATGCATGTCCAGATAAAGAATTATTATCGTTATTGATACCAACATCAATATCATCATTACTATTATCAGTACTACATATATAATTGTTATCATTATGATATTGTAACTATTACCATCATTATTATCATGTTAATTACTAATGATATTATTAATGTTGCTATCATTTTTCATCAATAGTAGGCCTATTTCGTATCATGATTAGGCCTAAAAAATGTTGTAGTGCCCTTTAGGTGCCAAAACATGGGTCGGTAAGTCGGAATTCTTTTTTTTTAACTTTTTTTTTCTCCCTCTTTTGGCTGATATTTCTCATTTTTGAATGCTTTAATATTTTTTTTCTGTAAGAAACGGTAAAAATAATAAAATAAAAGCCGGCCGCACATTTCAAGATTTAAGGGTCGGTCGCAATGGGCAATACAACATGTGTATAAAGGCCTTATCATTATGATTGTTTTGCCTTACCTAGGAGGCTCAACCTTAGAGGCGATGGCGAATGCCGTGGAGGAAGCCTGTGTAGTTATCATCTGCTTCTCAGAAAAGTACAAAGACAGTCCTGCTTGCCGAACAGGTATGTACTACTGTACTCTAAGTTAATTCGGGAAGGGCTGAATGAGGCATTTCTAATTTTGTAACCGAATTAACAGGAGTATCATAATTAGGTTGGGAATGTTTGCATAACATATATCAGGTGTATTGTTGTTGGTTTGTTTTTTACCTGACTGCTAAGAAAATATGTGTTTGTAAGTAAGCAACCAGGGGACGGACGGCTTTAATGCCTATCTGCACTAGTTTTGGTCAGGAGGGATTAGACCTCCCTGCGTGGTCACTGGCACGTGGTTATCTCATCAAATCAGCTCTCACGCTTCCTTCTAATTGGTTGGTTGGCTTTATTTTGCGTATACGTTTATATATATATATATATATATATCAGAGAGATGATGTTCTGCGACGAAGGACATATTTAAAAGGACTCTAACACTTTAAAAGAGGTTAACGCGTGTAAAGGTATTTTTTCAAGTTATATATAAATATACATAAATTAGATTCATATATTCTATTCAATTCAGGAATTTTAGAGAGCCAATATCCAGTTGCCTAAACAAAGGCGCTGAGGATATTTGGACATTACATACAACATATTATTCAAATATTGAATGCTTCTGAATTGACTCGACGAATTAGGAATTTTCCCGATTGATGATTTATTTCACCGAGGCCGGCTGGTGGCCTATGAGGAGAAAAAAAATTGGACGAACGAATTATCTTAGTTACCCTATGGACTATTTACTCTTGCTGCTCCTGACATTTGACACAGCCAGAGATTGACAGAGTTAGGCTCAGATCAGGGCTTTTATGGAAATGTGTTCAGGTAACAAAGTTTGTGTCTGTGTTCAAGCATGTCATGTGTCAAATCATAGGCTGCGCTTACAGACTACAATTGACCAGCACTTAAAACGAATGCTGTTTCTCATTTATTTTCTGACTGAATAGAGGCAGAATACACGTACAAGCTACGCAAGGCTATCATCCCTCTGAAAATGCAGACCGGCTACACTCCCAATGGTTGGTTGGGCGCCATGTTGGGGAACAAGTTATACATGCAGATGAACACGCTGGACTTGGTCCAGGAAAACATGTCACTTCTGGTCCGCGAATTGGCCGACAGGGGGCGCTATCCGTCCGATGAGGACCAAGACGTTGACGGTGTCTATATTCCAGCAGCCAATCATTACATGCAGCCACCTTCTCCGCCTTTCGTGCCGCCACGACCGGGCGCTGGTCCATCGATGTCCCGTGGTGATTCACGTAATTACTCACCGCGTTCAAAGATCCCAGTGCCCATTGGTCGACCGGGTTAGTGAAGAGTTCGAGTTAATGCCTCAGTCACACATTTGCGTATTTGGCTTGCGTATTGCTGCGTATTTATTTCAAGCCGTTTTCACAACAGAAAATAATATCTTGATATCAAGAAATAGGAATAAATGTTAAAACGGCTTGCCATAAACCGCAGCAATACGCAAGCCAAATACGCAAAGGTGTGACTGAGGCATTATGTAATTTGGCCAGATATTAATCTAGATTTACCACTCTCCACCCAGGTGTATTGAACTGAGGCTCAGTAGGAATGTATTCCTTGCATGCTTAATAAATAACAATGGCGATGATGACAATAATAACAATAATGATAATGATGCTAATGATAATAATGACAATGATACAAATATTGTTTAGCCAGGGAATTAGCCTCATCAGCACCTATGCTGTTCTTCCTGAGGCTGAGGGATTAGCCCAGCTATGTCCAGGTACCCATTCAAAACTTGGTGAAGGTTCGAATTCCAGCCAGGCACTAACATTTGGCAAGACAAGAAGTCACCCTTGCCACTCTGCACATATTAAGTGTTTATTATTATCATTTAAGATTTTAAGATTATTATTAGGTGGTCTGTCGTCTGCGACAGATCACCTATTGTTTTCGTCAGAATTTTCTTTCTTTATTTATTTATTTATTTTTATTTCTCCCCCTTTTTTGTTCCTAGGATAACTCAAGATCGGTTGTGTTAATTTCTTTCAATTTTGGCACAGTCATAGGCCATTATCGTGACGTCATCCAGGCGCCATTTTGTGAAATCACATTATCCATCATATCTTCATGATGCGTACTCAAAGTTCATTAGTATTCATATCACATATATTTCACTTCAAGGGTCAACAGGTCATGTCATCAAAGGTCAAACAAAGGTCATGACGCGCGCAAACGCGCGCGTCAAAATTTAAAATTGCTCAAAATCACTTAACTATTAAACGAGAGTACGAATCAGGTCATTAAGCATTTCAAAATTGTGCGCGCGCGCAATGGCATTTTGCAACATGGAATCACCAAATTTTCTCTGTCATCATATTTGGCACATTTTTCCAAGCATTTTGATACCTTGTCCACCCTTTTCTGCCCGTTAATAACGGAATGAGCGTCCGTTTAAGAAACATGTCCGTGCGTGCGAGCTCTTGTAATACATAGCATATACGGGCAAAAACATGCCTATACAAAATTCATTGTAGCTCTTTGGATGCAAGGTGATCCCAATTTTTTTCCTCATATTTTGATAGAGTATGAATCGGAAATATGATTTCATGTCTCATTTGACTCTCAATTAACTCATGACGTCATCATAATGGCCTACGAACTCAAAATTTCAATTTGCATATTATGACGTCAGCATATTTTTGGAAAATTGATTGTATCTCTGTAAATATTGATCGATTTTCTTCCAAATTTTGATATGTTCTAGCTGAGACACTTTTCTATGAATGTTGTTTCCCCAGTTTTTCAATTTGACAAATGCATCATGGCGTATTTTTGCGATTAAAGGAGGCATATCAATTTTTCACATTTTGCGTGTATTCTCTATGGGACATGACTTTTTTTAAAAACTGGATTCTACATTCCCGTCTTTCGCGAGCAATATCATCATGATCATCATTGTTTACAAGTCGATATAACTTCTCCCTTTCTCTATATAGTTTCTGCTTGGTTTTTTTAGTATGTTCTAGCTGAGACTATATGCTATCTAAATGTCCCCTCATTTTTTCAATCAGATGTCAGGATCATGCTCATCATCGTGATCATCATCATCATCATCATCAATAGCATCATGATCATTGTTGAGAAGAGTGTAGCAGTACCAGCACCGGCCCCGGCTGTTCCAAAATCTGAGGGTGGGTGTCTTCATTTAAGTTATGTTCATTTTTTCCCAATACGGATTAAATCACCTACAATACGAACACACATGCAAATACTAATAAGGGAATAGAATATAATATAAATGTGTGTGCGCGTGTGGATGTGGTGAGCTAGAGTGTTTGGGGAATTAACTATGCAAAGGCAACGTAACACATTGAAATATAAGAAAGCTTTAGTTACAACGTAAATTACATGTTGACGTCAATTGAATTATACTAGATGTAATACAATTAAATCACAAGAAACCTAATCGCTACCTTACTCGTAATCCTATACTTTTAAGAAATATGAAAGCCCCGATAAATTATAGCCGGAGCAAATGTCGGGTCACCTGTATTAAAAACATATTCTAATTTCTCAATTTTTTAGGAACTACCTGTGTGCAGATCGTGCAACAATGGGATTCAGGGGAAGTTGTTAATTGGTTATGTCGGAACAACTACTCTCACCTTCAGAATTGGTTCTTAAGCTACAACGGAGGAGACTTAATGGGACTAAAGAGGATCGCTGCACAGGCTCCCGAATTCTTCTTTGGCAAACTAGAGCAGGAGTTCGGCTTCAAGTCACTGTTGGAAATGATCCGTTTCAAGAACATGCTTGATGCGATAGTTTAGTAACCTATGCATTAAAGACTAGATTAGTAAGAAAAAGAAACGTCAACTTTTGGCTATGCAGCCGAATTCCAATCGGGTTTCATTTTATTACTTTTCGCTGTCCATATACAGTATGGTAATTTCCATCATTATAAACCCGAGGTAGTTATGTTATCTTGATGGTGATAACGCGATTGGACATTTTCGCCAGTTTTTTAATATAGATTTAGTCAAAGAGCACCAAGTGTCAATCTTTCTATCCTCTAAAAATTACCACAACTCTGTAGCTAAACCTGGCAGGAATTGATTCCTTGAAATGCTGGAGCGCTGTAATGGCAGCTAGGCTAATGCCGGAGCAATAATAAATGCGCCTCGGAATAGAATTTCTAGATAGACGGCGCTATAGAAATGCCTATTATTATCATTATTAATATTATAAAACAATCATGTCGTTTTGGCATAAAAATTGTTTCTTGACTGGATTCTTTTTATATATTAGTTAAGGTCAAGTGTACAGAATTTAAAAAAACTTGACACTTGTTGCTCCATACAGCAGTAGAATATGTTAAAGTGGAAAGATAGTTTGGTGAACGAGTATATATCATCTACTATACATCTCTCGTAATATAGTTTAGATAACATGAATCCTGTCTTCATTGGCGACCTTGTCCAAGAATGATTCAAATCAGAGTACTCTTTGTGTCTGGACAGGTGGGAAAGATTGGAGTGTTTAGCTGTGGTCCTCCAGGTATGACTGGCGGAGTGGAGCAGGCATGTGTAGACCTTAACAAGTTCGATGGAGCAGCCTTCATCCATCACTATGAAAACTTGAAAAGATTGAATCCGAGAACTAGCACCTCCAATGACGCGACAGATCAGGGGAATATTCGCACAGAAGCTTAATACTTTGGGTTGCTTGAAGAACCGGGGCAGCTATATATTTATTGCAAGGGTATGCTATGCCCATGAATGTATTGATCTTTACCCTGTGTCACGCATAGGAATTAATTGTTATTTGCCATTTCAAATTTACTTAATCAAGTAGTACAAACAGGTACAAACACAGTTACTGCGTATCATAATATGGTATACGTTCACTAATGATTGTAACATATTTACTTTAAGAACTCTATGAGTAGGACGGGAGTCTATACATTAGGACACCATGGTTACCGGTGGTATTTTTCTCGGACATTTTGTATGTATTTGGATGGCAAATGACATCAAAGGATTCAATGTTTAAATGAAGAGAGCTTGTAAATAAGATCTGAGATAACGTATTTTGTATAACATTCTAAAATTTGTTCTATTTAATTGACTGAACTAAGTAATACATTTATAACAACCCTACGAAATATACGAAGATCTTGCGTGGTTCTTACGATGTTCTTACGACGTTCGGCCGCCTTAAGAAGAGAGGCTTTCTAACGAAGTTAAAAACAATTTTGGACAAGACCATCGACCAGTCTGCGAACTTACTAACGGTCTACGAACGGCCTACGAACGCTGGTTTCGTACGGCCCTCTTAACAAGATCTTGCGAAATGATCTGAAAATCGTTCGTACGGCATTCGTAGCAGTTCGTAATGGTATTTTTGACCGAGGCTTAACGTTCAGGGGTCTGAGAAAGGTCTTTAAAAATTGCATTTCACGCCTTTCCATGATATCTAGGCCTATATGATTTTTCAGCAAATTATTCGTGTTTTTCAAGAGATATTCTTTCGATCCATGTTTATGAAATGTTTATGTCTTAGACTATGTTAATTTGCATTTTATCTTTCATTTGGATATTTGTAAGTTCTTTATGTTTTTAATGCTGATCAGGCTACTCTGTCTCAATATTCGTGAATAAATTTAAGTAAAAACATTAAAACAATTTAATTAACAGGATAGTCTACATTTATCCCTCATATGTATACCTTGAACAAAAACGGCTTATCTTCTGCTATTGTATTTCTTTCTTCCTTTTGTTATGGCCTACGTTTGCTTGGGTACTTAAATGCATAATGTAAAAGTGATTATAGAGCGAATAGTTCCACCGGTACATTAACCGTGGTGTGTGTGTGTGTGTGTGTGTGTGTGTGCGTGCGTGTGTGTGTGTGTGTGCGCGTGTGTGTGTGTGTGTGTGTACCTGTGATTTGGTTGCCTGTAACTACATGTAGGTCCATTCAGCGGGGGCCACAAACATCAGTATGGACATACAGTTGTAGTCAGTAGAGGCTTAAGTATCCCTGAAGGCATTGTCTAAAGCTACACGCATGCCAAAGGTTTGTCTTTCTTTTGTTGGTGCTCTTATTAGTATTACTATTAACTGCATTCCATTTTGGCATACTGTATGTATACTAGGTTCACAATCAGGGAATGTGGCCTATCAAACGTTTGTACTTAGGGACTGAGAGGGTCGAAGGGAAGGTTCATGTGATTTGGTTGCCTGTAACTAGGTGCTTTCATGTTACTAGGGGCCTCAAACATTAGTATGTACATACAGGTACAAAGTAAGATAATTGATATTGAAATTGCCACAAGCTGTGGTATATATGGAGCTGTTTTTGCAGTGAGTTGTAGTGTGTAGAGGCTTAAGTATCCGTGAAGGCATTGTTTAAAGCTACACGCATTTTTTTCATTCCAACCTAACGCGTAAAGAAACAGATAATATTGAACGAATACAAAAACGGGCATGTAGAATTATTTTGGGACTTAATTATGAAACATATAATCATGCTCTGCAATTGTGCAATTTGTTAACGTTGGAAGAACGTAGGAATAAACTTTGTTTTGATTTCGCCATTAAATTAGAAAAGCATGATTTGTGTTCGTTATGGCTACCAAGTCAAAGAATTGTTAAATTTAATTTACAAAATGTACAGAAATATTCTCAATTTATTTGTAAAACCAGTCGCTTTAATAATAGCTCTATTCCCTATTTTGTTCGTATCTTAAAGATAAACTTGAGTTCTGGTAAAAAAAGAAAATGAATTCTCACAGAATCTAACGAAACTTACACTGAATGTTCAAGATTTCAAATAAATGTCATGTGCCAAACAATTTTGGAAGAAAATGTATACTGGCTGAGTAATGAGCATAGAAAGATAAGGAAATCAGGGTAGTACCAGCCCCGACACCATGTGTGTTGTCCCATATACATCTTTCTGTGTAAGTGATTGTTACTTTACCAAAACTCTGCCAAATTTATGATGATTTTGATGACTCCAGATCCTTGCATTACACACCATTACTTACATGCTATATATGATCAACTTTTCTGATCCATTCCACACCTTTTCTTTCACAATGCAATCGCATTACCAGAACTCAAGTTTATCTTTAAATGATTATTTTTCAAAAAAGTAATCTTCATGTATTTTTGTATATGTTTATGTTTAATGATGTTGCCTATTATGTGTATAAATGTGTCTAGTATTTTTATCCTTTTATATGGCATTAATTTTATTTTATGTCAACATGTATAAAGCTCAGTGTAATTTAAATATCATGATGTTTTTACCTTGTATAAATGACCTGCAATTCAGCTTTGGCTGCCAGAACGTCATATGAATAAACCCTTATTGAATTGAATTGAATGCCAAAGGTTTTTCTTCTTTTTTTTGTGCTCTTATTAGTATTACTATCAACTTCATTCCATCTCGGCATACTGTATGTAAACTAGGTTCAAAATCAGGGAATGTGACCTATCAAACTTTTGTACTTAGGGACTGAGAGGGTCGAAGGGAAGGTTCGGGGACTGGGGAGGGGGGGGGGGGGGTAGCTCTTGGAATATAAGATTGTGCAAATGTTCACAGCTTGGCAACTTTTGTTGTGGTGTGTGATAAGATGTTTTTGGGGGCGTGTGTTTTGTATGATTGTGTGTATGAATGTGGTGTGTTTTGTGGGTGTATGTGTTTTTGTGAGGGAGGGGGATCTGGGAGTACCAGTAAAATAACCTCCAGTTTTCATTTGTTTTATTTATTTATTTATTTTTTTATTATAAGTGAATAATGTGTACAATTTCCTTATAACTTATGTTTATGTACTTTAAGTTTACTTTCAATTTTAGCTCAGTTATATATACTGCATATGAGTTGTTGTTTAATTATGTTTTTGGTTATGTATAAGCAATCAATATTGAAAACGTTTTTATTTCATTGTATGTTTGTATTACACTATTGGAGGAATAAAAAAAAAAGTTTTATAAAAAGTGTGCGTATGCGTGTGTGTGTGTGTGTGTGTGTGTGCGTGTGCCCGCATATGTGTGTGTGTTTCGTTTATTATTATTATTTATTTCCATATACATGCACATCATAATTGGTTTACACAATTTCGAAAGCATTGGTCCAAGTTATAAATAGAAAAGGGACATAGTAGAGAAAATATATTTAACTCTTGCTTCCAGAATATTTACTTTCCCCCCCCCCCTCTCTCTCTCTCTCCCTCTCTCTCTCTCTCTCTCTTATTGAAATTGTTTCGTTTAAAGAACGTTAACTCCTACCCTTCCCGGCCCTAGGCAACGAAGACTCGATCAAACATATATTGAAGAGAAAGAAGAGTCTGAAAGCCAGATTATGAGAAAAAAGAAAGATGAAAACCCACGAGAAGAAAAAAGAAGAACAAAAAAAGGAGAAGACGACCAAGAAGACCAAAACAGAGAAAAGCTTGAATAAAATGAGAAAGTAAGATGCATGATATAAAGAGGAAGAATACAAATGCAAGGTTGTAGGAATGAAGGCTTAAAGATTGGGGAGAGATGACGAAAGAGAATTCGAAGGAGGGAGGAGTGGATGCGTAGATGGAAGAGAAACAGAGAGACGGAGACAAACTGAGGGACAGATAGAGAGAAAGATAGAGAGAAAGAGAGAGAGAAAGAGAGAGACAAGATAGAGAAGATACGGATGCAGTGAGGGATGTTGATAAGTGTAGACCGAATAAATATAATGCATAAGAATTACATAATATGATTATGAAGAGAAAAAATATCCATAAGACTACCATTGAACATTTAACTCCTAGTATTACGCCGGAGAAAACACCATTCATTTGAAAAACAGAAGATATTTTGAGTTTCATTTCGATTTATTATTAGCATTGACGTTGCTATAATAACAAGCCATAGTTCAGAACTTAATAAATAAAAAAACATCGGGTTAATATTCGTGAACATACATAAACAATACTATACAGTCATGTTGATAGAGCAAAATTGTGACAAATAATGGATTGAAGCGAATTGAAGCTTGTGAGTTCACTCGCGCAGGCGCGCGCGCGCACACACACACACACACGCACGCACACACACACACACACACACACTAACTCAATCACATACACATTCTCCCCATCTAGCCTTCAAAATATGAAATGTTATCAAGATAAGATAATCTATTTTCTGGATTATACATAGAGTCTTATCTAGAATATCAAATCAAGTCCGTAATCATTATAATTATTCACTTTTGTATGGTCCAGCGAAATGGAAACAACATCAACTTCCAATTGGCTTTGATCAGTTTTTTGTGTGCAAAGTCTATGTTTATTGTTCTCCCCCTTTTTCTCCGTTCTGCTATTTCGTTCCCTTGTCTTCCTTCTCCTTCCAATTCTCTTTCTCTATCTCTCTCGCTCTTATTCTCTCTCTCTATTTCTAATTCGATATGATCTGACAAAATGTGAGGAAGATATTTCAATTTTTCATAAAGTGTTAACCAGTCTTTGCCATTTAATTCCTGTATAATTAATGCATCAATAACCTTATTGAAATAAATATACAACCTTATAATAGACAACTACTCTAAAATAAAGCAGAAGACTAATAAAGATGCAGACTATTGTACTATAGAATGAAATCGGACAAAAAGGGAAAAAGTATTTATGTTTAATTTTGTAATCAGAGACCAAATATTCTCACACTGTATCATGTATCAATGTAAAACTGATGCAAACCTTCAACTATTTTATTTACCAACCTTCAAAATATAAATGTTGCGTTTTATATATACCAGAATAAAAACTCGCAAAGCTTAATCTTATTAAAATGTTAGATGAAATTCATCAAAGATAGATTATTCTCTTGAAATGTCCTTCCGTAACGACACTGATTATAGCCAACTACACTGTATTAATTAGGCATGCCTGAAGTAGGGTATTATTTCGTGTTCCAAAATTGACCAAGTATCGTGGAACATTTTAATTAATCAAAACCCGAAGCATAATTTTCCTTCATTTTCGGTCTAATACAATCTCAGTAAGACTATTGTTTCTTCTTTTTCAATCAGGTCTATGTAAATCTTCGGTGAAGTCGGTATCCGTGTGGGACAACAAAACATAGGACTTACCAACTCATGATAGTGTAAACCTGTACTTGACGAGCTGATGTCAAGGAGATAGAATACTAAGTTCATAATTCTCGTGATTTCATCTATACACAGTGCCACTCTACGATAATAATCGGATAATTTCATAGCATTTTCATTTACAAAACACTGCAGACAGTGATGTCCATCGCATGGACGACCTTACCAATAACAAGAGACATCAAGATCTCAGAGAGGCAAACAAGGAGTCTTTGGGTGGAACTCCCGGAGTCACTCAATCTAGCCCTTCCGCAGTGTTACACAAATTAGCCTTGATCTTTATCATAGCATACATCATAAATGTTTGCAACTTTACACCAATTAGACACCTCGTCAGTAATAGGGTTTTAACACATCTTACAGCACGTGTTGGTTGCTGAAATGGATTGGTTTACAAAATTTATCAACGAGGATGGTCCATGCACTTCCTAGGTTTTTAGGACACTTCAAATCTTCCGTATAGTCTAATTCAGGGTTTTTTATCCTCACCAACCCGAAATGTTTTGATTCCTTGATGACGCTCTTCATGCATTATTAATTTGCTGAGTTGTTGGTCGTATGTTGCTTTCTGCTCAATCCTGGAATGTCCTATCTTTCTCAGACTCAAGTGTGAAGTAAAAAGGAGTCTTGGACTGGTTATTGACCTCTAGTGCACTACTATCTACTTGCGTTTCGTAGATATGACGATTGGATGAGACACTGTCCCCTTTTGCAGAAGGAGCATCACCA